AAGTATTGAACGTTTTCGTTCCCTTCTTCTCAAAATACTACAGGGAATGATGGAATTACCTTAGAGACTACAACTATAAAGAAAAGAAGTTCAGAGATTCATCACCCCAATTACGTGTAGAAGTGACACAAAAAAAATAGATGTGAAGAGTCAAGAAAACAGTATGGAAATCAAATAAGTGACAAAACGTAGTGACAAGAAAAAGAGAGAGAATATCAAGAGATCATGAGATTTTTTCGCACGATGAACAGTGCCTAACAACTGCAAAGGCAACACATTCTCCTTCTGAACACAAAGCTCAGGGTCTAACTTACGTATGTACAAAGCTTTCAACACGGCAAGATGTAACAAAGACCTACCACGCGACCAAACAGAGAATACATCATCGGAATACCACTCACGACAACTAGCACTGCCCGACAGGTGACACTTGATTGCCAATGTCTTGTTTCCCAGGCCCGACAACTTCGTCGTTGTCACCTCCGATCCTGCCGCTTGCCAGTCTCTCCCATTACGCCCTGCATCCCTGCAATTCCGATTGCCTGGGTCAACATCAGTGTGCTGCTCCACGTCCAGTCTGTCCTGCTTCCGTGGTCTACCTCGTTTCTTCACATTAACCGTTGTTGTCACTTCCAGTATTGGTTCTTTTGACTCCTCATCAATTCATCTCCTCAACTGGCTTCTGGTGACCCGTCCGGGGCTCGATTGTTCAGATGTCAGTTTCGGTGGTTTCCGTATCGGTCTCTTCTTCTTGTTGACTGTTGTTCGGGTTGGCTCCAGCCCTGCGCCCGACAAAGAGGAGGAGGGGTCGGCAAGCGTATTCAAAGCAGAGTTGGACGAGTCCACCTCAGACACAGACTGCACTGGACACTTCGGCAGACGACCACGCCGAGGGCGAGAACCACGTGCAGCTACAAGGACAAGATTCAACGGTGCACGTTGACGAATCCGTGCGCCCAGGTGCTGAAAGGTTCTACCTATGTACAAATTTTCACAATTTCGGCACTGAAAGAAATATAATTTTGCTTAGGGTAGGTAGAACGTCCTTCTTCACGCTGAATGCACGGGTCGTCCCAAAGATGACATACAAGTTGACACACGGATGAGAGGAGCAAACAGTATTCCGCACCTCCTTCTCCATGCGCGAAGAACTGGCACCAACCCACGGCAAACGTAGTACCACAGGGCATCTCTCCGGTCCAAAAGTAATCGTCTTTTCCAAGGTCGGTTTCTGGTTGATGAGTTTCATTAAAAGTGTCTTTGGATAGCCATTCTTTGTCATTATCGTTAAGAGTCGTTCTAGTTCCTCGTCCAACAGATGAGGGGAACATATCCTATGTGCACGGTAGACAAGGGCCTTGACGAGGTGTGTTTTGGACTTGACATTGGGATATACAAGCCTGTGAAAGTTGGCTTTCTATAAATGGTCGTGTCCATGTTGTGCGTATTCATGTTACGAGAAATCCTACCATCCAGGAAAAAAAGGGTACCATTATTTTCACCATCTGATGTGAATTTTAATGCTGGATGTAAGGAGTTGAGAGTTTCCATAAACCTATCCCAGGTTTCTTTGTCGTCGTCGTGACAATGCACATCGTCAACAAAACGACAGTACATTGATGGCCAAAGTGAAGGGTCGATAGACGACTCGCAGAAGCCAAAAAATATATTCGCCAAGACTGGTCCCAAAGGCGGTCCCATGGCGACTCCATCAGTCTGTTTGTACATTATATTGTCGAATGAAAACTCCACACCAGACGTGACCATCAACATAAGTTTCACGAACTCCGTTTCATTCAAATTAAAAAAATACGGACTGGTGAGGACGCACGTACAACGACAACAGAAGTGACAACAACAGTCAATATTTGAAAACGTGGTAGACCGCGAAAACGAACCTCAATATCTGACACCGGACAAGTTGGAGTAAGAAAGCTCAATAGAAATCCGCAATGGAGGAGACGTAGCTGAAAGGACACTGGGCATCGCGCACACAACAGCTAGTGTCAGGAAACGTAGAAGGCCGCGGAAAAGCAAAGAGACGGATAGTGGTGATGCCGCGAAGAGGCGAGATGACGGGACATTGGAGGAGACAACACCCAACGGAGCTAAGAATCGCATTTCGTCAATCAAGCAACATCTGTCAGCCCGTACCAACTGTCGTGAGTTGCACAGTGATAATGTTTTCTCAATATTGTCACATGGTAGATGTGCGTTGCATTTGGCTGTGTTAGAAGCTTTGTATATCCGTAAGTTAGATCCTGAAATTTGCGAACAGAAAAAATGTGTTGTCGCTACAATTGTTTGGTGTTACTCCTCGTCGAGGTGTTAACAATGTAACTTATTTTCTCACTATGTTGTTGTCACTATTATTATTTTCCTTCGAGTTTTGTGTCGTGCTGAACTTGATAATTTTCCACCTTGTCACGAGTGTTGTCATCTCATTATCTTTATGCTATATAAGTTTTAGTCTTTCCAACTTGAGCCATTCCCTGTATAATCCTTGGTGAGAAGGAACCGAAAACGTTCGGATACTTTGACAAGTGCCTTATTGTGACTAGATGTGTGTTTGCGTGGATACTTGCGACCCAAAACTTACCATTGTTTTTAAAGTATTATCCGCCGCCAAAAGCGTTGCACCGTGAAGGCAAACTTGGACACTGGGCCTCCTTTGCTCAGTGTCTTGTAGCAGCGTGTTCACAAACCGAGAGTTAAATTCAAGTTCCATCTACTAGTGCTTTAGGGGTCGTCCGTAATTATCGAACTTTTTTCACGAAACGAAATAATTTCGTTATGGGGTGGGAGGGGGTTGACCAAATTCGTTTCAGAAAACTTCGATGTACATGGCCATAGGAGCAGTGACACACTTGCGACTTTTGTTGTATATGCATGTATATGTCAACAATTTTTACGTTCTGAGGGGGAGGGAGGGAGGGGTTGGATCTAAACTAAAATAATTCGTTTGGTGAAAAAAGTTCGATATTTACGGACGGCCCCTAAAGCGGGATTCACAGAAGCATTTTTGCGATGCGACACGCGATGCGACAGCCGCGAAACCGGGAAATCCCCAAATCGCAACCATTGCGGACCCTACGCAACTGACGCAACTGCGCCATCGCAGGCCATCGCAGAAGTTGAGCTTGGCTCAACTTTTGCGATGCGATGCGATGCGACAAGCGATTTGGCGTACGATTTTGACCTTTTCTACAGCAAAGTTGTACAAAGGTGCAAGAGTTGCCTATAAATTTGTACAAGTTCAAACCGCGCGAATATCATGGTGACGTAGCCAAATCAGCAAGATGTTGTCGCATCACTGACTTCTTCTGTGAATGGTATTTCGCGAGTTCGCATCGCACGCGTCCGTCGCAGATCGCGTCGCATCGCGTGTCGCATCGCAAAAAAGCTTCTGTGAATCCCGCTTTAGGCTCTTTATTTTTATTTTTATAGTACATGTACCTTTACCTGTTGGTAGTACAATCGTTGCTAGTTTATAAATGTATGCACGTTCCGTCCTGTTAGTTGTCTTGACGGATACAGGACTCGCAACACTACTGTACTCACTAGTATTAGCAGTAGTAAGTAATAGGGTCTTGAGCTCTGCAGCGTATGTGAAGCTCCCATGCTGCGTGCTTGTACAGCTGCAATACACCTGGGCTACACTGGTGGAAGTACAGACCCCTTGCCCGTCTTTGTCCACGCTGATGCACGTAACAGCGACTGTTGCCCTCTTATATTTTTTATCGCCATGACACTGTTTCAATTACTTCAAACAACGCCTCCCAATCACCCATATTGATCTATTGAATCTTGTTCTTGCCCTCCGTGGTCGCCTCAATACAGCTATATTCAGTGTCAGGTTACTCCGTGACTGCCAACACTACTCTGTTGCACCTAAGTATTTGCAGAAACGAGTGCAGAAACTAAAGCTTTATGATTCCATCTCTATCGAGAAAGTACTTTTTCAGGATGATCTTAACAAGGCAATGAGCCAACTTCACAATGCACGATCGAGGATTGTGTCTTCGTATCAGAAAGTACGAAGACTTCTCAATACCTTCAATTTTCTTAGATTTTGTTAGATTTTCTTGGCTAATATCGCAATGTGACTGTATTGTGTCTTCGTGCTTTCTGATACGAAGACACAAACCTCGATCGTGCATTGTGAAGTAAGTGGTCAATAATATACTGCGTTATTCCCGTAGCTATGCAGAAGACGTTACTTCAGTAACGTCTGGCGCTAGCCAGGGTCCACACAGCTTTAATTTGGTATTTGTGTGTTTGCTTGTGTGTTTGATTGTTTGTGTCACGCCTGGCGCTATCCGTATCTGACGGCAAAAAAGCATAGGATGCTATAAAATTTTCAATTCTCCTATTTTTTTTTCAGGCATATCCTGGGATTCGAACCCGCACTATCGCCCTACATGCATTCCCCCATACACTTCCCATTCATACCCACTCTTCCAAGTTGCTTCACGTTATTATCTTGCGTTTGAAAGCCCTATTTGAATATTGCGGGCAGCTGTATGTGGCCAGCTGTGTTTGATGGTACGGTACGGGAGACGGTGTCGTATTACCCTCGATCGTACCTGTCCCGTACCTATCCCCTACCGTACCGACGGCTGGCCACAATGCATATTCAAATAGGGCTTTCAAATGCAAGACCACAATGTGAAACAACTTGGAATAATTAGTATGTATGCGAAGTGTATCGGGGATGCATGCAGGGCGCGCGATAGTGCGGGTTCGAATCCCAGGTTATGTCTAAAAAAAAAGGATTTTTTTAAAGAATTTATAACATCCCTATGCTTTTTTTTGTCTAGGTCATCCAGGCAAAAAAAGCATATAGTAGGGCCCTGAGCTTCCAAGCTCTCTCGTTAATTCAGTTATTCATGTTGGTGGGTAACAGTGCTTTTATGCATAGCAACACCACCAGCCAAACTCTTGCATTCTGTTTCAGTAATCAAATTTCGCCAATGCCCACGATGGAAGGGATGACTTACCAAAAGGCGAATCAGGGTTGTAATTCCATAGTTCTTGAGGGAGGCTGCCGGAAGCACATACAGCTGTAATACCTTTACACAGCAGGATTGGAGTATAGTCACAAATGACAGAATAATATAAAAATGTGAAAAGCAACATATCTTCCGATCTTGAAAATTCAAACCACAAAGCGGCTTTAGTCTTTCTCAACCTGTCAACTAACAAACAGTAAGATCAAGTCGTTGCAGCTTGAAGGAATATTCAACACATCAGAGTATAAAGCAGAACACCTGTGGACAGGATGGACAGAAACGGGCGTTGCCTACAGAGCTGTCACCTGACAGCAGTGTCAATCATCTACATGAGCACAATTATCTCCCTTTTATTCCCGCCGGCAGATGAATTTTGTAACAAGAAATGATGACATATCAGCACAGGAAGTATAATGTAAAAACGGATAGCCCCGAAAGGAATTAGTATCCCTGTCCATTGCATTACATCTGGGGAAAATGTGACAAACCCTGTAAGGCTTCCTTTTCACTACTAACACCAGTAAATTTGCATCCCACCTTGATTTTCAGTAACCCGAACTTCATGATGTTCTCACTAATGTACGTAGCACAAAAGGCAGTATCCCTTAGAGGGTGAGGATGTACAGAGGAATGTGGATTGAATACTACTTATCCATGCCGGTTCCTTTTTTCTTCTCCTCCCCTTCTCCCTTCCTTGCCGTGGTTGGCTAACACCCTCTCTCTTTGTATTGGCCGGTGTTCTCACTGTGCTATGAGATGCTGTAATAAATAAAATAAATAAAATAAAATAAGCCTTATGGCAGTTGTACAGATCTACGAAATCCGGTAGAATCCCGTAGACCCGGTTGGGTTTTGAATGTGCAGGAACCTATTGTGTTTTCTGCTATTTCCACTAAGAAATGGGGCCTGAAGGCATTTCATATGAAAACCTTTTTTTCTGACAAAGATCTACCTAGTCATTAGCTCTACCCAATGTGAAGAAGCTGGAAAAGCGGTTGCTTGCCATTAAATTATGAGTTTAAAATTGGTCAAATGCGCATGCCTAGCACACAATGAACACCCTACCAAGTCTACGGAATTCTACAGGATTGCGTGGATCTGTACAGCTGACATAAGGTCTATTGGGTGCTAAGACTTGCGGCTACTTGAAAGCACAAAACTGCTCTACAGTCCATTCAGAAAAAGATGGACTTCTAGCTTTTGGCCATAAATGGGTCAAACTTTGAGTTTTTTTAGAATTTTTTTCTGCAATCCCCTATGGAATCCTCTTCCAATTATGTTTCTGAAGTCTATTTGTCCAAAAAGCAAGCCATAACAAGAATAGGATATCGGCCAGGTTTTGCCCCAGAAGCATTGAATTGGAAAAACCATCAAAATCCAGGCCGTTTGACCCTGCCTGCAACAGTGCATTGTGGGGTTCGAACCCCAGTTCAGGTTAGTCATGGCCCAAATTTGCTCTGCCCACATCGATATTTTGCCGCACAATTTTGCTGCAAGATTTTCGATATTCTGCTCGGCATTTCCTTTCTCTGTCGATATTTTGCTTTCATTTTGCTCGAGATAAAATGAGTTTCAAGGAAAAATCTACAATCACTGTCGCTGATGACTACGGAATTTTTGATTGGGCTCCTGCTGCTGCTCAACTTTCAACAAAAATGTAGCCACGAGTCTGTTTTGTCCTACTTTTATGCTCGTTTTCAACCTTGGTGACTGATTGTGTTGGGAAAGTCCCTAAGAAGCCTTGGATTTTCCGAAAAGCCCACCAAAACTCGATATTTTGCTCGAAACTTGCCGGCAACTTGCGCATCCGATATTTTGCTCAAAGAATTGCTAGCAAATTTGGGCTATGACTAGTTCAGGTACCCTTTTTCAAAGTTCAAATTTCGCAGAACTGCACTGTGTACAATGAAATCACGAAAAATCGCCAAATACGGGAGCTCGCCAGAGCCAGAGCCCATCTTTTTCTGAATGGACTGTAAAGTGGCTGAAATAGGGAATGTGCATCAAAGATGGTCATCCGTTAAGGGGGCAGCCTACCCATAAATTTCATATGGCATTCAATTGACCGTAACTTTGGTGTTTCTCAATGGATTTGAGTGAAATTTTGACCACACACTCCTGCCACTATGCTGGCCCTCAGGACATGATTTACAAGTTCTTGCGCCTCACTGACAGGCTTTCCAGGCCGGAAAAACTCAAATTTCCGGCATAGTGCCACGGTGTGCGAGCCACCCAGGAGCCAAACAAATGCATTTACCTCAAGTACAATTTTTTCACATTTTCGTGCTCATTCTGTTCGTGCGCAGGACTCAAACCTAGAACAAGTCCAGAAGCAGCCATGGGTGATGGGGTAGGGCCCCTCAACGAGGCCCTGGAATCTGTCACAACGGAACGAGTGGGCGTTCTCTCACACACTTCCACAGACCCAAGTCAATTTTTGAATTTTTTTAGGTTTAGCACGTGCTACGAGGTCGTACCTTTGATACAACATCCAGTGCTGGGACCTCCACAGCAAGCCATTTCCACAGCGCTGCACACCAAATCCAGGATACCCTCAGAAACTGGCAAAGACTACCACTCACGTTTCACTACTGCCTAGTACTGAATCCTACCTGACTTCTTTACACGACTCAAACTTGCCAAAGTCACTAAATCAACGTCAACTACAATAATCAAGCCACATATCTGCAACGTCACGAGGGTGCTGGCAAAAGTCCTGCTGCACGGCGGCGGGCTTCGCCCCGCCGCCGTGCAGCCCAATACGTGGCTCAAAAACCTGATTTTTTGGATTTGGAGCAAAATTCTGCACACTTTCACGCGTTTCCATGATACGACAAGTTGCGCACGGTCTGCTCACATTCAAATACAGTGCTGCCAACAAATGACAGCGTGCAACAAAAAAATCTTTCCTTGCAAGGGCACATTTTCGGCCATAACTCTTGAACGGCCGGTCAGATCGGGACACACTTTTCAGAGAATTTGCAGCTATTCATGCTCTTTTAACTGACGTAGCAATCAATATGAATTTACAAATCCCCTCCCCCCTTACTTTGCATGTAGAACCAAGAGTACATAACCCCCCAGAGTGAGCAATGCCGTTCCAGCTCTGCATAGGGTCTTCATCGAGCGGAATCGGATCTTCTGATGTCATGCGTACACTCCACACCAGCGCAAGGCCGGTCTCAAGGCAGGACACCGTTGTTGTTGATCCAAGAGTACCCGCGACTCCCCGGGTTCCCCTCAGATGTGTACAGTATTATGACGCAAAGATCCTAATATGCTCAACCAAGACCCTATGCAGGGCTGGATCAGGCGTTGCACACTCTGGGGGGTTACTCTTGGTAGAACCCATTCTAGTACTTTTATCAGCATAATCTTATAAAGTTGACGACCTTTTATGCAGAGCTGGTATCAAGATGTGTACAGTTGTAATGGATCTGCTCCGCAAAACCAAATGAAGGGATTATGGTTACTTGTTTCTGATATTCCTTCTGACAGTTGTTTCGCTTACCAAAGAGAAAGCGATACTGAATAAAATTGGATATGGATTTCGTCTATTCTACATTTGAATAAAATATTCTTGCATTATTGAATTGAAACTCGGGTATTGAGCCAATAATAAAAGTAGAAAGGAAAAGGACATATGGAAAGGAGTAAAGAGTAACCCTAACTCTCTAGTTACAGTGGTGGAGAGTTACTCTTTTAACTCGTTTCCATACGTCCTTTTCCTTTCTACTATTATTGAATTGCCTAATGGTTTCGTCCTCGGTTCTACAGTTTCTACCGGTACTTGATTTACAGGCAGCTGTGACGTTGCATCTATTTGATGTGTACCGTTTTGGCCCCGAGTTCTCCTGAACCACCTTGAAGACCTTTTTTTGTTTCCCACATCGTTAAGTTAAAACTCCAAGTTACAATGGAATTACAAGACTTCCTTTCCAGCATTCACCAGCTGTATTAGGGTGGAACACAGCGCCCCAGCCATGATTCAAGACTGGCCACAATTACAAAAAAATCTAACGACAGTTAGTCTACGAGTTTCATCCCTTGTAAACTGAAAAATTAAATCAATGTTAGTCTAGGCACAATCTTGTCTGCATACTCGTACTCACAGAGTGAAAGAAGTAGCACGACCTCCATGTTTCTAGCTTGCACACGCACACGAGCCCTTGTTCGAAAGTCTGCAGATACAATCTCGGGGTGAACGTTTCTAGCTCCCTCTTGGACGTACCTCAAATGAAAAGAGGAGGACTGAAGCGCGAAATTGACTATTTACAACAGAAGTCTTCCATCCCTAGTGTTCTACCAAGGCGGTGTTTACATGAGGCGTTTCAACCCGGGTTGAGTTCGACCCGGGTCAGATTTCAACCCGCCATGTGCACAAAGTGAATGGCGCGTTTACATGACGCATTGCGCTTGACCCGGGTTGAAATTTCGCCCGGGTTGATTTCAACCCTCCCCCCAAGGCCAAGGGGAGGGTTGAAACCAAACCGGGTCAAGAAAATCGTACAAACGTACTTCTGTGCGTATCTCGCGCCAGGTTTGAACAGCACGTTAGCACTAGCACTGCAGATGCAAATTTCGCGCGAACGGATTCACGTGACCATGCAGGACTGTAGATTCGGTGTAGAAGTGGACCTTTGGCGGCATATCAGTATTTGACCCGGCGAAATTTCAACCCGGGTCAAGCGCAATGGGGCTGTTAAGTGATGACGTCACAGTTCCTTCGATACGCATAACAACGATCCCACTGGGGACAAACAAAAGTAGCGTCGTCTCCACCGACCCAGTTGTCAGTGGCAACATATAGGAATCGTGTACATTTCTTCGTTTCTTCTTTGCTGTTTTCAGTGAGTGTTTTGTTTTCTCTTTGTCCTTGATCTCGACGATGTTGTCGTGCTCATTACCTTACTGAGACGTCTCTTGTGACTGTAGCCAGTGTCATGGAGGATTTTATTGGCGTGACAAGGTAGATCGCCGAGATCGAGCGTGAAAA